TCTCCCGGGCCGGCTCTGGTCCGTGAGGAATCTGGGGCCCCTCCTTCGTCTGGGCTGCTGTCTCAGGAAACCCACCCTGCAGGCTCCTGCCTGCTGGGTGATTTAGGTAGGGCTGAGGGCCCTGCACCTCCCCTCCACCATCCACAGGGTGAGTCTCCTCGTGACCCTCGCCCTCCACGCGTGCTCCCCTCTGCCAGATGCCATGCCAGCTCACACAGCCTCAGAGAGGCAGGCTCTGGGCACTGCGGGCTGGGCTCTGGAACCCAGCCCTCGCTGAACCATGAGGGGCACAGCGCTCCTTAGGGGTCAATATCCATGAAAGAAGCAGGGAGGGAGCGACGGCGCGGAGAGTTGGAAGAAGCCTCTCCCAGCTCAGCGAGGAGCCGAGGAGCGCTGGACCACCCGCAGCCCCACGGCGTTGCCCCAAGTCAGAAGGAAATGGCCAGGCCTTTGCAGCCCACCTTGCTCAGACAGCAGGGTGGCTGCCCCAGGAGGGCAGGACCTCGGCTCCGCAGGAGCGGACGCCCGGCAGCTGCACCTCCACGGCGCTGAGCGGCAGGCCCTCCTGCTCCGCACGGCGGACCGCATTCCCCTCGCTCTGCAGTGAGATCACGGGACCAGAACTACCGGCCAGCGTGCCCAGGCTCACCCAGCTCGTTGGCGCGAGGCTTCAGTCCCCAGCAGAGGGGTGCAGAGGCTCCTCCCTTGCTGTTCCGCATTTGAATGAGGTGCTGCCTTCATAGCCAAAGTGTGGAAATGATCCACGAGTCTATTAATAGGCGAATGTATGCATGCGCGCTCCGTCGCTCCAGTCGTGTCTGACTCGACGCAACCTGTGGACTGCAGCCCGCCAGGCTCCTCTGTCCTTGGGATTCTCCAGGCAAGAATACTGGAGTGGGTTGCCGTTTCCTTCTCCAGGGGATCTTCCTACCCAGGGATTGAACCTGAATCTTCTGCTTTGCAGGTGGAGGTGGATTCTTTACCCACTGAACCATGTGGGAATAAAAAAGACTATATATGTGTGTGTGTGTATATATATATATATATATATATACACACACACACATATAGTGAATAATATTCAGCCATGAGAAAAAAGGAAATACTGCCATTTGTGACAATATGAATGGACTCTGAGGGCATTATGCTAAGTGTTGGGTTGGCCAAAAGTTTCGTTCAAATTTTTCTGTAACAGTTTATGGAAAAAAATGGAATGAACTTTTTAGACTACCCAATACAACAAGCCAGACGGGGAAAAACACACACTATCATCTCGCTGATATGAGGAATCTCAAAAGCCAAAAGCACAGAAACAAAGATTAGAATGGTGGTTACCTTGGGGGTAGGAGAAATGAGGAGACGCTGGTCAAGAGTACAGACTTCCAGTTATGGGAAGAATAAAAGGTGAGGAAATGAGATCACGCCCCCACGATGCTCTGCCCAGGCCTCAGAGGTGTGCCCATCAGCACCGCCTGTAACTTGTTGTAAAAGATGATTTACATTCTACACGAGGCTACGTGAGGGGTAACAAAGCTCTGTGGGGGACACTGCCTGGCACGATAAGAGGTGGCTCTGTCCACCGGCCACTGGAGATGAGAACTTGGATTTCTTCCACTTGTCTATTAAATGAGGAGGTCGAACTTGGGGACACTTCCAACTCTAATGTCTGGATGCTCTGGCCTTGTCATCAGTGCTCTGGAAGACAAACCTTGCTCTGGCCTCAGGGTCTGGCAGGAAGACTGCATGGTGAGCAGGAAGAGTAGCTCCCCAAAGGGGACTGGGTCCCGGGTGAGAGTGCCCGGCTTGGCTGTAGTGTGAAGGGAAGAGTGTGATGAAGCTGGAGGGAGGAGGGGGTTCAGGGGGACCCTGGAAGCCCCAGCAAGGTCTGCACCAGAAGCTGTCACACCTCACCCCCTACAGCTGTCAGACCACCTGTGAGGTGGGAGGGGAAGGGAGACCCAGGAGACCGCTGTACCAGGACTGAGTCCAGACCCCTCCCCTGCACCGGGAGAACCCACCTGGGGCCCAGAGCTGCTCTTGGGTGCCCTCCGGGAAGTAATGGAGGCCAGGGAACACGCCTAAAATGGGGGAAATGTGACCTTTTCTAGGAAAGAGAAAGCGAGTCCCAAAGACCAGACTTAAACTGAAGAAGGATGCCACATTAAATTCCTAGCAAGCCAATTCTAGGGTGCACAAGATGGCAGAAGAAGCCACCCCTGGCTCTGTGGGTAGGGCATCAACAACTCCAAGCAAGTGCTCGTTTTCCTCTGCTACTTTTCTGAAAGAAGGAACAATATCATAATCTTAAATAATCTTGATTCAGGAAAAAAAAAAATAGCTCCTGTCTCTGGAGGATGCCTGGAGGCTCGGCAGGCAGCAGATGCCAGCTCTGCTGCTGCTGTCCCCAGGCCCAGGCGAGTCCCACCAGTCCAGGACTCAGGAGAAGCAGATGTGGAGCCCCTGCAATGTGTAAGTGGGTCCTACCTCGGCTCCAAGACCCCCACCCTCTGTCCGCTTCCTGTGTGTGTCATCTCACCAGGTAGACATTATCTTCTCTGTTTTACAGATTGAAACATCAAGACTCAAAGAGGCTAAGATCCTGACCTTGCAGCCAAAAGAGACAAAACTGAGAGTGCACTGGTGGCCATAAACAGGTGCTCGGATGCTAGATGGGTTAGCAACCAAGAAGGAAGCAGAGAACCCCAAGCCAGGGTACCTGAGAGCCTGGGGAAGAGGACCAGAGCATCCCAGGCCAGGTGGCAGGGAGAAGCCCCAGGAGCACCCTTGAGACCTGGGCCGTTTGTGTTCCCCCTGGCATGCTGATGGGGGTTGGGGGGAACTGGTCTTGCTCACATGGCCAAAGATAGAGAAAACAGCAGGTAACCGTTGTCACCGTTTTACAGCTGAGGGAACAAAGTCAGAGGACATAAATAAGCAGTTTGCCCACATTCAAACAGAATTCTGAGTCCAAAGCCAAGATCTTTTGTGCCCTCATTACCAAAATTGGAATTATCGTCCATGTTCCTCTTACCTCATGGCACTGCATTAAAGAGCCAAACGAGGCCCAGTTGCTGTGTGTTTGCATGAACTAGATGGAGAGTGTGAGCCGGTGCCCAGCGTAGTAAAGTGGGTTCACAACCGGCCAAGCAGCGCTGATCAATGAGTTAATATCTGCCTAGGACAGAGCACTGATGCCGTGCTGGCTGCAAAACTTTGCACTTGACCTGACCTAGAGCATCATTTCCCCGACACTTGAGGTATCAAATCTGTAGGCCAAACAGCACGGGGAGGCAACTTTTGCTATCATGCTTGCTTACAGCACAGGGCTCAGGAAGAGCAAGCCCAATTGAATGACATGAAACCAAATAAAATTCAACAGGGATGCATGGAGGGCTCTGTATTCAGGTTTTAAAAAATCAATTATACAAGCACAAGATGGGAGGGATGAGGCTTTACAAACGTTTGCATGGGAAAGCAGGAAGGATTAATGGCCGTGGTATGTCCCGGTGGTGAGAAGAAAACGGATGCTCTGGCTGCAACCAGCTTCCAGATGGAGGGATGTCAGCCTTGGAGCAGGATGGTCCATTATGGCACCGCCTCGTCAGGGGGAATTAGCATCGTGGACTGGATTCTAAGACAGGTAACCACGCCAACCGAGAGCCCAAAACGACCATTATTTAAAGAGCAGTGTGTGCAATGGGAGGGCTCATGTGAAGCCAGGACTTGGGGAAGAAGGTCACCAAGGTGGTCTTCACATGGAGGAGGGGCAGATATCTATGCTGGCGATACACCAAAGAGGGTTGGTGGGCCCAACTTTCAGAGGCCGACAGCACGTGGACACAATGAGGAACTATCTGAGCAGCATGTCCCCTAAAGGCTGAGAAACCCAAGAACTGGGGACCTGCAGGAAAAGCAGGTAAATCACCCAGCATGAGTAACATGGTGGGTGTCTCTGCAGTGGGGGGTGTGAGCCCCAGCTGCATCTTTACATGGGGCCCATGAAGCCCTGGGGGTCCCATGGTGCCTCCTTTGGGGATCTAGAGTGGGTAGACCAGTAGCCTGAGAGTGGGGATCCAAGACTTTGGCACTCCATTTATGAAAGTAACTCCCCTCTATCTGTTTTCCACACTCAGCCCTAAGATTTATTTAACTAGAACAAATTTTCTCTGGCTGAAAATGCTGCTTGAAAACCACTGCTCTGGATGGTCAAAAAGCCCAACCAGCTCCAAATTTGCTCACCTTCCACCCTCAAAGCCAGCTCAGGAACACATGTAGGTACTTGGAGTCCCGGTCTTTCCACCCAAGAGAAGTCACAAGAGGAAGGTGGCCCACAGCAGCTGGGGCTCCAAAACACACTGGAAACCTTGGTATCAGGTTATAGAGGTTTTGTCTCAGTTGCTACTTCCAGTCTTGGTCTGGGTATAATTTGAGGCGCTCACCCAATTACTTTGAAGATTCAGGGCCAGTGAGTTTGTCCAGGGAAGCACTCCTGAGACATGGCCCTTGGATAAAAATGGGCATTTGTGTTCCTCTTGGCATGCTGGTGGGGGGTTGAGGACGCTGACCTTGCTTACATGGCCAAAGACAGAGAAAGCAAGAGGTGATTCTTACCACCATGCTGCTGACGAGGGAATAGAGCAGAGAATGTAAGCAAGTGAGTTACCCAGATTCAGGCAGATGGAATTCACAGTCCAAAGCCAAGGTCTTTTGTGCCCTCATTACCAGAATTGGAATTATTGTCCACGTTCCTTTATCCTCGTGGTATCTGTCCTGTGAGTTTGCTGGCTTTTTTGGCTTATCTGTGAAACAGGGTTCTCAGTCTATTTTTGTTTAAGTTCATGGAAAGTGTGCACTTTCTAACAGAAATAAGGTCATGATATTGTGGAGAAGATGAAGATCTTCCAATGAGGTGACCCTGAGGTTTATTTTATGTTATGGGGTTTGGCCTCCTGGTGACAATCACGGCTCTTGTGGAATGAGGCCAGGACCCTGCTCCAGCCATGGCCAGAGCAGCAGAGACGGTGGAGTTCCAGAAAGAGCTCGGCACAGGGTGAGATGCCCGCTGCGGGAGAGGCAGGCTGTGACCCGCACACCTGGACTGTTCACATCAGGCTGGTCGCATCCTGCTTGAAGTCCATCTCTGGCATCGACAGTGTCCTCTTCCAGTGAAGGTTAAAAGGGGACTCTGCAGCTCCCACACATCACTGAAGCTGTGATCCTGGCCTCAGAGAATATCTAGTGTCCCTGGCAGAGCAGCACTCACCATACAATGAGTATGGGGTGAGTTCAGAGCTCAGAATGCAAGGGTGAGGTGGGCTCGTGCGAGCCCTAGTGGGGAGCTTCCAAGTATGCAGCGCCCACTGGGAGATGGCAAGGTGGTGAGGGGAGGTAGGCATCCTCAGAGAGTAGAGTTTGGGTGAAGACCAGAGATCTGGGGGTCAGGGTTCTGATAGGAGCAGAAGATATGCCCCGGGGACAACAGGGAATATTGCTGGAGACTGAGCTCATCTTGCCCAGTTGGATGTCCAAGCCAACTGGAAACAACTGCACGGGCTTGAGCAGGGGTGAGATGCAGAAGTGGGGTGTGGGGAGGTGCTCAAAGGGCAGCTCACAGCTTGAGAAGGTGCCTGCACCAAGGGAAAGACACTAGAAGTTGAAGCCAGTGGCACTGGCTTGATCTGACTGCCTAGGAGTCTTCCCATCCACCTAATCAGTGACCCCTAGCTGTTGGAGTTTGGCCAAGGGAGAGAGAATCTCCATGTGAAGAGCAGTCAGGGTGTGTGCACCCCCAAAAATGTTGACGTCTTAACCCCCAGCCCCTGTGCACACAGCCTTATTTGGCAACAGGGTCTTTGCAGATGTTCAGGTTGAGATAAGGTCGCTGTGGTGGGCCCTTATAGAGCAAGGGAATCTTGCTAGACACAGGGATGGGCACACAGGAAGAATCTCCAGAAAGGCTGAAGGCAGAGATCAGGGTGATGTCTGTACAAGTCACGGAGCACACGGGTTGCCAGGAGCCAGCAAGAGATGAAGAGGCAAGGGTCAGCTTCTCCCTCTCGGCCCGCGGAGGGAACCAGCTCTGCTGACACCCTGAGCTGGGTTTTCTAGCCCCTAGAGCCTAGAGTGAACCCGTTCCTGTTGTCCAAGACCCCCGGCCCCAGTCCTTTGTTTCGGCAGCAAACCAACAGGAGCACCTCACTCTTCATCTCCAATCAAAGGGCTGTCCCTGGCCTGTCACAGGACCTGCCGTAGTTCACACATACGACGCCCACCCGCGGTGAGCTCCTGGGGGCCCCGGTCTGAGGACCCAGCGGGGGGTCAGGCCCTGTGCGGTCTGGTGCTGGGCTTCCTGTTGGTGACCTTTCTGAAAAGGCAAGAATCCGTGTCTCAGGGCAGGCAGGGCCCCTTCCGGATTTACAATGGAATAAACCAAGGTTCAGAGACAACCCAAGCTGCTCCCTCAGATAAGCTCACACAGGCAGGGGGAGATCCGTCAGTCCTGCCTCTGGGAACGTCCAGAGACGGGAACCGTGCTCATTTCAGAACTCTGGCCCCCATACCATTTAATTATAAATGCTGCAGCTCGGTTACTAGTAGCCACACAAAAGTGACCTTTAAAAACTTAGAATTTTTACCTTTTTAAAATAAGAAACATTTTACAAAGATTCTAACCATGGTCGTGGAATTATGTTTCGCATACCACCAATGTTCCCAGTCAAGTGGCAAGGGACGATTTCCCGCCTCCACCTTGCTGACCCATAATGTTGAGCTTTTGCAGCTCTGTACCAGCCCTTAGGCACGTGACGGTGCTAAAATCTGAAATGACACAAGGGAAATTCAGGAAGCCACCAGTCCCAGCAGGACTGTGTAATGGATGCCTCTCACTCTCCTGGCCGTGTGAGCACAGTCATGCTATTGGCTGCAGTTCTAATTCGAAAAGAGTGGAGGTCAACCTAGAAGGTTCGCTTCGGGTAGGCTGGGATGCTAAGTGCAGAACTGGAACATAAATCACGCTGCCCTGGTTTGAAACCGTGGACCTCGCAATAACCAGCACTCATCATGAGAGTGTCTGATACGGAGGTCCACCTGGCTAAACCACGCTCCCGGAGATCAAAGTCCCAAATTCCTTCCCTCATTTGTTGAACCATCTGTTCACCCAAGATGTGTTTTTAAAGCACCTACTTTGTGAGAGACATGGCAATGTGTGCTCACGTTCAGTTGCTTCAGTCGTGTCCAGCTGTTCGCGACCCCATGGACTGTAGCCTGCCAGGCTCCTCTATCCATGGGATTTCCGAGGCAAGAGTATTGGAGTGGATGGCCATTTCCTCCTCCAGGTGATCTTCCTGACTCGTGGTTCCAACCTGCGTCTTCTGCATTGCAGACAGATTCTTTACTGCTAAGCCAACAGGGAAGCCCATACATGTGCAAGGGTTAAGCAATGAGTGTGATATCACCCCCACTCTGGAAGAAGCTAAGATAGGCTAGTGATGTCAGGCCAAGGATAATTGCCTGTGTTGCCTAAATTGTGGTACAAACACACAGATAATGATTTTAAGAAACACTTCTGGGAAAAGTGACATTTACATCAGACTTCAGAATGGGAGTAAACCTGTTATAGGCTATTACAAGGAAGAGGATTTGAGGACCAGAGACCAGCACATGCAAAGCTGTGTGTGTATGACAGGAATGGGGAATTCAGGCAAAGGCAACCAAAACTTCCTTGTGCCACAGCGGGGCTTGGGTAGACACAGGCCGCTGGAGGTAGGGAAGGAAGAGGGCCAGGTGTGGGTTATTGACATCCTTGTCTGCTCTATTCAGGAGATTGCACTTAATCCTGTCCTCCCTGGAGAGACATTGAAGGTTTTATAATAGGAGAATGGCATGAACCAATATCACCTAAAAGCCAAAGGTGTGCACATACTTTTACAACAATTCAACCACAAAAATGAATGCACATTTGCTCACAGAGCTTGCTTTGAGTTCCCCAAACATGCATCTTCGGCCTCAACTTAAAACTTATCAACATCGCCGAGCCCAGTTGCTGGCCACATGCCAGGGACACCTCTTCTTTCAAAGACTCCCTCCAGATTCTCATTGGTAACTCTAACAGTCACACATGTTCCATGGGCACTGTCCTATTTCCCAGGACTTTTACATGGGGGACAGGTTTTAAGTAAAATAAAAATTCCTCTTGCTTCTTGCAGATTGAACTCGATTAAATATTCCACTGATAAAGGATAAGCAAATGTCAGCTTCAATACCATAAAAAGAGAAATGAAAGTTCATACAAGCAGCAAAGCAAACAATCCATTTTCATACTTTATTAGAAACACTTATTGCCATAATGACTACATTATTTTAAGCAAGCAGGTGGAAAGGAGTTCTGTGTGTGATATCTTCGGATATCTTTATTTTTGAAAATGTGCTCTATCCAGCATTCAGACAGATGTTTTATTCTCTGTGATAGAGCTGGGACATGAGACGCTGTCATTTCAGCCACTACCTGCGCCCTTCCTTGAAGGCCATGGCCTCTTGATGCTTCCCCAACAATGTGAGCCCAATCAATGTTCTATTTTTCTGCTCTGCACGATGTGAAGATTCCGGGTACAGATGGCAGAACTCACTGTACACTTTCCAGTGTTCTGCCAAAATCCACAGCTCGCATTCCAAGGGTGCCTCACACTTTTTCCTCTAGAGTTCGCCAGCCACATAACTGTGATGTAGAATCTACAGCCAAGATATTTAAAAAGGGGGGGGCGGAGTACGGTCACCCTTCTCTAATATCTGCACCACTTTGGAAAATCTTGGCAGATTATCTTGAAGAGGAGATTCTCCGAACCCTTCTGTGCTCTCTTAGTAGTTATCTGCTGCTGTGTAGCTGCGTTACCACAAACTTAGTGGCTTCACACAACGTGCGTGCATCATATCACCATCTCTGTGGGCACAGCTTAGCTGGGTTCTCTGCAGGGCCACAGTCAAGTTTTCGGCCTGGCCTGGCATCTCCTCTGTAGGCGTGACTGGGGAAGGGTCCACTCTTCATCTCACATGGTCATCAGTGGTCTTCATCTCCTTGTGGCTGAAGCATGGAGGACCTCGGGTTCTACCTGGCTGTGGACCAGAAGCTGCCCTCGGCTCCTGGCCACGTGGCTCTCTCCATATGATGCTCACACTAGGACAATTTTCTTCTTCAGCCAGCAAGGGAAAGAGCCACTCAGCAAGGTGAATGTAACGAATTTGTCATATGATCCATGCTTCCCGTCACTTTTACTGCATACTTTTGGGCAGAAGCATGAACAGGTCCCACTCATACTCCAAGGAAGGAGTGAGTACCGGAGGGCAGGGGCTTCATCAGTCTGTCCCACACACCTTCCTCAGATCTACTCAGTTCAATAGAGGACCTGAGCAGGTGGGGCCAATTTAAACAGGAATTTCCTATGAGAGAATTGAATGGCTTCCAATTTTTATAGTGTGGAAAAAAAAAATTCATGTAGTTTAATAAGCCATTTCTCCCTTTAATGTCAAATTCAGATGTTCATTCTTGTACATACTAAAATCCCCAGTCTGTATAACTTAGATATTTGCAAATATTTATTAAGCTCCTGCCAAAACCTCTGCAGAGACACCCTGGAAAGTAGAAGACAGGGATCAAACAAGGCCTCTGCCTCAAGTTTGAAAAATTCATTGGAGCGGTGGACGTTCTTTGAAATTTCCAAGTATATGAAGGAGATTAATTATTCTGCTTCTCTCTTAGTTTGTAGGCAGATAATTGGTAAGAGTACTTGGATCTGCAAAGTGCTCTCACCTTGCTCACACGGTATGTGGGATCAGGTCAGGTTAGAGCAGACTTGAGTATATAAATGAGATGATCAACACTTCCGTTTCAGGAAGAAAGGCAGAAAGGAAAGATGGCACTTAAACAAAGAGAGGTTCTTCAAACAAGAGGAGATGAAAGAAAATAGAAATTTGCATACAAAGGGTCAGTGCTCCCCTGGGGGCTCAGATGGTAAAGCATCTGCATGCGATGTGAGAGACTCAGGTTCGACCCCTGGG